TTTTTGTTGCAAACATTTAGACTCCCTTACAAAACAGTGATGGATTTTTTTTAAACCAGATGAAATGCTTTCTATTACTTTTTTAAAATGTTGACTTCTACAAGAATAAGGGCAGAGGAAAAGATTTTTGGTGCAAGCCTGGTAATAGCCTATAACATTAACATGTATGTACACGCTCTTTCCACCACCCCCTAACGCATATTTTATTTTTAAACAGGTATTTAAGAATTTCACACTATTACTTCAAGCTTGAAATTCATTCGGTCTTGGCTCTACCACACTGGGGAGAGAGACTGGGCAGTACAGAAGTCCAGAGCTTAGGTAATTAAGCAACCTCAGCTTCCCTGCAGAGCATCAGGCAGCAGGGAAGCAAGAGATGCTGATTGTTTATTCCTTTTCCCCCCAAATGGCAGATGTACATTACAAGGACTTGTGGGAGGGCAGGCATTTCTTAATTCTTCAAATGTATTTATTCTTCTCTGCACTTGAGACAAATTGACGGAGATCACCAGTGTGTTGATACAAAATGGCCGGCCTGATTAAATATCAGCATTCTTGTAAAAGGATTGGGCTTTTCCAAAAAACAACAAAAAAAAAACCAAAAACACCACTCACATTCTATTTCACTGATATTGAATTACTGACATAATGCAGAAAATTGTCTCATCAAAATCTCCCTTAGTTTATCCTATAAGAATAGATATGTATTTTTAAACCTAAAGAGACCAAATCTGTACACATGAAGAACGTGAAAAGAAAATCCAAGTTGCCTGCCTCTTAAGCAGATACTTAAAAGTATCTGACTTTTGAATAATTAAGTCAGTTTTGCTGATAAAATAAAGCTTTCTTAACAGGTGAAATTTAAAAAGAGATAAATCAATATGGAAATACAAAAGTTAATCTTGACTTGAATACTGATCTACACATGTTGTATGTAAAAGCACTAAAACAAAATCTATTTTGCATAGTTAACCAAACTGAAATACTAAGCCTTTTCCAATTTCTATAACCCATCAAAATCTCACATATGATTTCCATACGGAAATGCCTGCCTATGACAGACTTTTATTTTCTTTTTTGATACAACTGGAATGTGCCTACTGAAATAAGTTTAAGTTTCTGGAGCAAAAATACTCTGGTTCTTGATTCAGCACTGTTTCAAATACAAGCTCTGGACAACTTCTGCACTATTCAAATCTCTAGCATAGCAGAGCTTAGAGCATATGAATTTCAACCTGGAGAGTAACAGTGTGATCTCAGGCTCTTCTGCTCCCCTACCAAGATAACAGAACAGGTAGATTCTATCAAATAGAAAGATTAAACAAAAACAAACATATAAATTAAATTTTACCAGCTTATAATATAAGCTGGTACGCTTATATATCTCTATTATAATAAATAGAGAAAAGAAATAGAAGTATCATTGAAGAGCTATGTAGTGTTATCGAAAGATGCAATCTTCCTGGATCAGACAGTTTCAATTACAAGTTTTTAATCAGAAAAAGCCTAAGGAATAATCTACCTTTGTGTTTAACTAAGAAAACAAATATAAAACATGTGAACAAACTAAGCACTATAAATATTAAAACAAAATAGACTCCATATGGACTTCCCTAACCCCAACACAGAGAAGGTCTTAACAAAAGCTTCTGCTACTGTTTTTTGTGCATTAGTTTCATAAGCACATCTTTTGTAATTTCATTCCACTGGAGGAAACTAATCACATGCATACAGATTAAAAAAATAAAAATAAAAAAATTGCAGCTTCTCAAATTAGACCCTAGCACTTGCTGAAAGTCTGCCATGACCCACAAGGAGACTAGCATATGTTCTGACCCAAATGCATAAAGAATGCAACATACGCATTCATTTCACAGACTCCTCACAATCTTTATTAGATAAGGTGCTTCCTAGAGAAAAGCTGAATTAATGCTATCGAAGATACAAAGGCGGCCAACTTTGACAAGCCTGGATTAGTAAGCATTCCAGTCACAGAGGCGAAGTAAGCCATCGCTTCATCACCACACCTCTCACTTTGCAACACGCGCACTGCAAAGAAACCCAAGTCTGCTGACCACAGCTACAGCCACTACAAATAAAGCACAAGTTAAGCCATGCTGTACTCAAATATCTTTTCATATTTGCATACTGTAACTCACTAATATCCCTTTTCTACTATAGAAATACAGTACACCTGAGCAAATAATAAATGCCCCTTATAACACACACCACCGTCTTTCCCTTCTCGGTGAGGATGACAGGCTGACGTAGAGAAAGATTACCATACTATTTTCCATTAAACTACTCAAAATTAGATTGAACATGGGTGTAATGCAATCTCGTCTACCAGAGGAATGGATGAGTTAGTTATATATGCAAACTTCCTGTTCTACATAATTGAAAAAGAAAAATCACTTGCTGCTTTAAAACACAATGTATCTTTCTTTGCAAGATTTAGAGAAACTATGACATATGGAACACAGGGAAAATGTACTGGAAGATTTCAAGGGGATAATTTTAAAATTCCTTCAATACTGTAACAGCCAGATTTGAAATTCTCTGCCAACTTTGCTAATTACATAGCAAAGGAAAAGACTGAGGCTTCACAATTAAGATACGCTAGAGCTGCTAGGAACTGGCATATGGACAGTACTGCGACAAGACAAACAAAAACCCTTGGGCTCAGAATACTAGTACTAACACCACAGCTGTTTTTTGGTGGCAATAGTTTTAGATGTGGCTGCCCTTCTGCCCCAGCCAGCTGTGTTTCCCCTCTGGCACTCCCTCCCCCACCGCAGCAGCACAGCTGGGGCACGGCAGCTCCTCTGCTGCTGGCACTGTGGTGGGGAAAAAGGACCTGGGCAGAGTTCCTGTCTGGGGCTGTCAGCTTTCCAAAAATGATGCTGAAGAGCTATTTGCTGGGCTACACCTAACCTACACAGGGAAGGAAGACACAAAAACTCACCCAGCACTGGGGAACACAAAATTGCTACTGAAGAGCATTTTGAGGAATGCCAATGACTGAATTAAAGATAAGCAAACCGAAGCAGGGAACACCAACACCTTTCTCAACTGCCAACCCCCAAAAGGGCTGCCTTTTACAGCTACTCTAGGAAGAGCTAAAGGGAAAAAAAAACAAAAATTCAAAAAACCCACAGATGCGTAAGTCCAAGTCAGGAACCCTGTCCTCCTTCAGAGACTAGAACGGAGTTGTTTAAGTTCTACAAAAGCACAAACAGCCAGGAAGTTTAACCTCTTCGAAGTTTTGTCTTTTATAAATGCCGTAAATGCTTAATTCTGGGACACTCTGGATTGTTGTAATGCCAAGCAAGTTTTGTGCCACTTCACAACATCTTCTGCCTGATATCCACACCTTCTTTCACTGAAACGCCACTTTGTTTTTGCAAAAACAATCTCCCCCCAACAAATAACCACCACACCCCCAAACACAAAAGAACAAAAAACCCAAAAAACAACAAAAAAGGAAAGCACGATCAAAAGAGTCTGGCAAAAACTCAAGTGTATTCACTGATCACAGCTTTACTCAGAAAACAACGTCCTGACTAATTTTATTGCTATTGTTAAACGTTAGTATCTTCAAATAGTAAGCATTCGACAAACAGGATAGAGTTATCAATTAAAAAATAAAGTTGCTGTGAAGAGTTTAGTCCTAATATCATACTAACTTACTACTGCTACTTCTAGAAAGGAAAATGACTTAGCAGTGGAAACAAATAGGCCTAATACTTCTTGGCAATACTGTATGGGCAAAAATCATTAATAACTAATTAGTAGCTTTATTTCACACCTGTAAAGGCTCTCTGACTTACCAGTCTATACTAATTGATCAAGTAAGAGAGATTATCTCTACTTACATTCTGCCAAGTACTTTTTAGTCATCTTACACTTTAGTGAACACAAATTTCTAATGAGTTAAAGATAAAAATATAATTATATTAATCTTCACACATCTCCATTCGAGCAGCAGTTACAGGTCATTGACCATAAAAAGTATCAAAGGACTTCAAAAGGCAGCAGTCAGTCAACTCCAGAGGGCAGATTCAAACAAGAAATATCCTAGGAAATTGACGGCAAAGTACTAGAGTCAGCTAATAGAGCACAGAAAATTTACAGAAGTGCTTTACTAGGCCTTTAGTTCCCTGTGCTGAAGCCACTGTAATCTGAAGGGACCAGACTATGCGAAAAATACCTCTATACAGAGAGTGATACAGGAGTTCCATTGAAATCACAGTAAAAATTGCCACTGATTTCAAATGAACAATCTTGAAAAAGCTTTGTGCGAGAATGGAAGTCGGCTGCTCAAGCCTTTGTAGTATCATATTTTTTATTATCGTTTCATATTCAGTACACTTCTTTTACTGTTTAAAATAATGTAAATATATTTAAATCTTATTTCATTTCATATATAACCCAGAGGAAGGGATTGGCTAAAAGTAGCAATGCTCTTACAAATTTCTCAGCTTCAGTCAATGAAAAAAAATCCCAACTTAAGAGCTTAGCAAAGGAATATATATATATATATATACACACCATTGTTTCATTTTACACAAATTTAACTTTTTGACTTAAATTTAACTGGTGACTACCAAATGTTATTAGGTTGGTATATGTCATTAACAGCTTGTTCTTTTTAGCTTTTAACCAAAGATCTCCAGAAGGAGGAAGAAAACTATTTTCAAACAGAGAAAAATTCACCTGCAATCACTGCTGTAAAATTGGAATCAAAATGATCATATGGTTACTGTTAAATTCAAAACATAACATTTGAAGTAGAACACTAGTACAAAGGTAATACACCTGCATTAACAGCTCTGAAGAGATGGAAAAACAATAAGCCTCCCAGTAATGAACCAGATTTAACTCTTGATAAAATACTTCAAAATAATGATGCATGTTAAAAAAGAAACAGATCTGCAGTTGTTGGGATTACACAGAAGAACAGAAGAAACATACTAAACATGGAAACTTTAAGCACTCACCATCTGAATGGGTTTTTTGTGAAGATCTCGTTCAGTCACCAACTTTTCTTGGTCAGTGACATAAAGGCCTTTTTGTGCCAGAGCTTGTATAACAGCATCATGACCCAGAAGTGGTTTTGCAGCATCACTCTTGAGAATAAGGCTCCCAGCACGACAGTAGAGTTCTGCCGACAGCAGCAAGTTAACAACAGGTGGTTTAATGTGCTCCTGGTCATACTGGTCTGTGTAAAATGGTTCTCGCAGTTCTTCTGGAACGTTTTCTACAAAGATCAAAAGATACAAAGCATTAGCCAATATCAGAAAGGATAACCGTATTATTCACTTTTAATGTGTATGGATTCAAAATTACGTTAAAATCTCTTAAGGGGAAAGCCAAAGTCTTTACTCACTCACCCTGCTGCAAAAGCACTGAGAAAATTACATACAAAGGCCAAGTTAAATAGAATTAAGCTATAAATAGAAACTGGAGAAAAATTCAGAAAGCGTTCTACACTGCAAAAGCCACACCAGAAGGCCAACCTGTGGCTTTACGCTATCATTAATTTAAAATTTCCTGGCTTCTCCAAACACATGTCCAAACATTCTCATTTTCTTTAGCATAATATTTTATAGGTCAGATGCATCAAAGCAAAACAATGTCCATTTAAACACAAAACCTGTCCTTATTACCATAATAAAATGGAAATAGAACAGCATATTTTAAGCACAGAATAATTCCTGGGACAAAAAGGGAAACCACCACGGATCATCCTTTAAATTTCAGAGAGGCAAGAGAAGTTTCCTTACTGAACTACCTGTGCCAAAGGTCACACATCACAGAATCAGCACACTTCAGTAGTTATGCACGCTCACATGCGTGTCTTAATAGAATTAAAAGAATGGGAGAAAAAAAAAAAAAGAGAAAAAATATTATCAATATCCTTCTGATAAAACACTGAAGAGTTATTGGCCTATTTGGGTTACTGATTTTCTTTTAAGTGGTGGAGTGGTGGGCTTTTTTCCTTTTTAAGCAAACAGGCCTAGCACCAATAGAAAGCTATGCAGGATTCTGTCAAGTTATGCTGACATTTTAACCCTAATTGGAACTCCAGGAAGCTTTTGACAAGCTATGACAGCTTTTCCACATGCTCACACAACAGAACATAGACAAAATATACTATCTACCACAAATATAATAGTTACAATTAATTTGGTATTAAGCAAAATGAAATCAAATCACTAGTGAAGCAGAAAATAACTTAGGCACGGTTTCAGAATTCACATTTCTGAACGTGAGCACTGCAAGATGCTGCATTTTCCCGGTAAGAACTTCACTCTCCATTGTTACAAAAATTAACAAAGCCAATGGCACTTATGGGAGCAGGAGCATGTCATTCTTTCCCTGAGCCAATAGGAAAAGCCTATTGAACTCCTAGAAGGAAGAGGGGGGGGAAAAGGGGAGAGGGAGGAAAAAAAGGAAAGAGGAAAACAGTGAGGCAACTCTAGGTCCCCATCCAGCTCCTACCCCCTACCCCTACAGACAGGATCTGAGGTGGAGGGTGGAGTAAACAGCCCAATATGGGTGGAGGCACAAGAGAGAAAACCAGAACCAGCCATCACAAGATAATGACAGATCATCTTCTTCCTCATACATATTGTATTACAGCTCATGTGCTTCCATTAAGAGCTTTGGAAGAACAGCTAGCCTTCTCCTAGTCGTGAAGGGAGAAGATGTGTTACAGCATGCAAAAAGAAAAAAAATATATATATATTAACAAACATATACCTTCTTAAGCATTACCCTTCTCATTAGTAATTAAGGATAAGATATGGCTTTTTATTTGCCAATTCAGAATATCAAGGAGGGAGCAGAGGTATAATTCCTGATTTGGTTAAAACAGAGCTAAAATTTGGCTAGGAAGTGGACATTTCTATTTTAGAACGCAGATCAAAATACAGTCAGCAAAACTAACACAGTCAGGCCTTTGAAATACAAGTCTAATGCCTAACAACGCTACTTCTTCACAAGCTAATACAACTGTTTTGAAAAAACTGCAATGACAGTCAGTGATACTCTTAGGGCAGGAAGAATTTTCACAGCTTGGAGATGTTAAACTAGGAAGAGGAGTTCAGAGCTATTATGACAGTTCCAAATGGTTAAATGAAAGATAGTTTCAATATGAAACACATTTGGAATAACTACTTTATGCAATGCAATCTTCTCTTACCACTTCCCAGCTACTTCAAACACTTATTGATTCTATATATCACACTAGCATTCAGTACCGTAAAAAGCAGTTATAATTAAGCAACTCAATAAACAATTCCATGCATTATTTCCATCTATTGCCAGTCTCGATCCTATCTGTCCCTTCTTTCTTTTCCCTGTTTGTCAGCACGTTTCTATTTAAATGTTGCGTTTATTATTTCTGAGGTCCCTCATGACCTAGCTCCACTTCAATATCAGCTCGATGCTCATCATGATTCCATCCTCTATATATTCAGCTGCCGATTTTTAAAGCGTCTTCATGCTAGAGGGCATTACCTGCTGCAAGTGTTTTCAATCTCACAATGTACAGGCAGCAGATTTTGCCTGACCACGTAGAAGACAACACCAACAAAGGGAACCCCACACCTTTTTGAATCACATGGGAAGTTAGATGGGGGGGGGGAGGGGGAAGGAAATAGAAGGAGGAGATGAAGCCATTCGTTTTTTAACTTTTTCTTTACAAGAAATTATAACTCATTTAATTGTCTTGAGGCAGGAGCAGGTAGCTACAGACAAACATAAATCACAGCCTCTGTGCTTTAGATCCACTGAAGACAATGACAGATTTTAAATTTAAAAGCTTAAGCCAGAAGAGAAATCCAAAGATAGAAAATAAACTTGTCTCCTGTTAAAGAGGCACTTCTGTTCAATATCACAAAACATACCATAAAATAGCAAGGTAAGATGCATTAGGTGCATTTAGCATGAAAGAACGACACTCACTAACAGCTTTTAACAATAAATGCCAACACACACACAAACACACACACACAAAATCAAGACAAAGGCAAATAGAAATATTTCTACAGAATATTTCTGCATTTGAAAAACATAGCAAGAGACAAAACGAAGATGTATGCTGTTTCTTCATTAACGTTACAGAAAAATCTGGAATAGAAAGAGAATAGAGAAATAGAACATAGAAACAAAGCATTAGCAAGAGAAAGTGACCGCTTCCATATTAGTTATGAAAAACTACAAAAACATTGTGAGAGCATACAAATAAAGAATCAATGCTGTAACAAGATCAAAAGTTCACAAAATTTCTGCTAAGTTTCCTTCTCATAGGCAGAAACACATACCTTCCCCATACATCAAATTGTTATCAGAATTGATCTTCATAGCAGGTAAACTAAATTCAGAAGATTCAAACTGTGTTCTAGTTTTTCTTATAACAAAGAAAGTTTTAAAAAAAATGCTAGGTGTACAGGAAACTGTTGCTTTTATACTGGTCTTCCAAAGGCATGACCCCTCTACAAAGCAACGTGTCCCTTCTGAAATCCTGTGGAGGTGGAACTTGAAGGCTACAACCAATCTCAGCAGACTACCAGAACCACTGACAAGGTCCAAAGCTTTCATTAAACAATTCTGGCAAGTTTGGAAATTGTTAAACTGCCCTGTTATGCAGAGAAGAATCTTTTGCTAATGCACGATACGGACATTTTACCAGTTCCTTTCCTTCAGCCTGCAAGACAAAAGAGCCCTTCTAGATTAAGCTCTGAAGTAAATGAACAATTTTAAAATAAATACAAATGTACATGGTTATACACACAGCCATAAAGTACTATTTGACCTTGAAACTTGTGCCAAAGTACACCATAGTAGTTATGAAAGAGTGATATAGAGGAGACATACAGTTAGGGGACTTGAGCGTTGGAGATACGGTGGAGACTAACGGAATTGTGTTTATTCAGGCCAGGGAGGCTATGGGAGGATCTAACTGCAATCTTCCACCCAACCCAACAGGGAGATTATCGAAAATAAGGACTCAGACTCTTCTCAGACAGCGCAGCGAAAGGATGAGAAGCAGCAGGCTCAAGTTGCTGCAGGGAAATTTCAACTCAACATAAGGAAAAAGTTCTTCATAATGAGAGCAGTTGTGACCTGGAAGAAGCGGCCCGGGGAGGCTGTGAAACTGCCATCCTTTGGAGACTTTGAAAACTTGACTGGACAAAGCCCTGAAAAAACAGATCCAACTTTGAAGCTAGCCCTGCATTGAGTAGGAGGTTAGAGGACACTATTTCCACAGATCTTTCACCCTAGTTGTTTCCAGGTTTGCTGATAGGACTGTATGTTTCAGTTTTAGTAAACCCATACCAAGAAAGACTTCCTGCAAAATTAGGGAGCTTGACATTCTGAATTTTACAAATATTGAACCATGAGGCAAATAAATAAGGCTAGTAACAAATTCAGCATAGAGAGAGGAAAATACAAAAGGGAAATAATACCACTTTAGTCCAGAACAGTAATTAAAATTAAAGAATCTAGTTAACTTTAAAACAATATATCTTCAGGTAATCTCTTCCATACAAAAGACTCAGGTCACAATCTTGCAGAAACTTTTTGGGGAAGGAAAAAAACAAAATCAAAAAAAATCTCATCCTAAGCTTTAAAGCAAATAAGGGGGGGAAAAAAAGATAATATAAACTCATCTTTTCACTTAAACAGATCATTTTAATGGGAAGGAATCGCCTAACAGTAATTCATGGCTACACTGAATTTACCTTTAAAAGCCATTTTATAAGCAAAACCCTCTACTCACGTAGATGTGAATTACTCCTTGGAGCACAGCATAAGCACCTCCTTGGAAAAAATTATTTGTATCTGTGTGGAAAGTCTAAGCTCTTTTTAAAAAGAACACAAACTATTTTTTTGTAAAGTTTCCAGACTTCCATACAGATGAATACAATCCTTTGAGTTTTGTAACTACTGAGTTTTTCAAAAATTGTAAGAGCCTATAATTTCAGATTTATGAACTTAAGGGAGTGTAAAAACTCAGAAGTTTTGGTCAACAAGGTCTCCCTTTATTCCTAAGAATAATATAAACAGGTTAAAATATTTTTCCATATACTTTCTAATTAAAACATATATCATTCTTAGGAGCCACAAGGTCACGTAAAGCCTCAGCCTAGAGAATTTCCATCTTTACAGGGTACTGACTTCAACTAACAAAGGAGATTAAGAAAATATTTGTAGAAGAGGCTTAATACAGAATTGTTTTGTGAGAATTGTAATACCTTTAATCACTTTCTAGTACAACCCAAAAATGAATTTATGACAAATCTTAATGGACTCAATTACTTGACAATTTTCTGCAGGACCACAAAGATTTATTACTTTTGCTCTAATGTAGCCGTGTGAATTATGCCCATTCAGCCTCCCACTTGCCAACAATTCTGGTACCCCATTCGCCTTCTGGGCGCAAGGGAGCTGAACTTCCAAGAAAGTCTGAGGACCAAGAACAGGCCAGAAAAGCATGATTTAGATTGTTTTGCTTTTGATGGATTTTCATAGTTGCCTCGTTAAAAGAGGAAGGCATTTCAGTTGGACTTTGTTTTGGAGAGGCCTTCAGGGCCTGACCATAAGCACTACAGTTCTAAGATTCACAGCTGATTAGTAATTCATGGGCAAACAGACACTATTTAAAAAAAAAAAAAAAGTCATCCAACATGAATTTTATTCAGGAGGTGGAGAACAGAATGAGGCAGTTGACATTCAAAGAGTATTTTACCTCTTCGTTTGTTGAATCAGTCTGCCACTTATTTATGTTCTTCTTGGCTAACAGAAGGTAGGTGTACTTCTGTCAAGGAAGAAGTATCTAAAAGGTCACCTTTAGAAATTTCTAGCAGACTGAATTTCAGTAGCACAGTTCTTAACTTTGTCCACCTAATTGATCTCAAGAACTTCAGAGGTTCTTGGATCTACTGTCGCAGAAGTACTTCAAACAAGGAAACCCTACCCTCCTGCCTCTAAACCCCACAAACATTGACAACTGGTGATACTTGGACAGCAATTCTGTACTTTCAGCAGGCAGTTCACATAAGATTAAAAGGAAGATTTTGGTGACAAGTAATGAAAGAATCTAGACATAGAAGCTTTGCTGTCCTCAAATGTATAACAACTAAATAGCTTCCGTTACCCACTGGCTGAAAGTGAGAAACTTAGCAAACTCATTCTACCTTCTTGACTGAACTGGAAAAATGACTCATTAAGATGTAAAAGGGGTGGAGCATCATGTAAGCTATTCCTGGTCTTACTTTCTCCTGCTCTACTAATCAGAGTTATTCTCTTCCAAAAATCTTGTTTGAAGAAACAACATAGAACAAGTCCAATTTGCCTACATACGACTCCTTTGGCTTAATGAAAGGAAAAACTTATTTTCCTTGCAATGATTACTGCTTGAGAAAGTAATTCAGTAAAAAAACTGATCTTTGTACATTCCAAACCAAAACCCCACAAAGTATTAAACAGTTGGCCAAATTTGTTTTCTAGAACACAGCAAACAGTATTACTTTGAAGAGTGCTAGTTACATTAAAACTGGATTTTAGGTGGAGGTATTTGATGTAGGGATTTTTGGATGCTTTATACAGGTACGAGTTTCTAGAGGGAGTCTTTGTCACAAAAAACAAACAAAACATGCCCAGGCTCCACCTTTACAGTCCATGCAGAATTTGCTTATTTTTATGAGCACTGAGAACCACAAAAGAAATGCTCTGAGTCACAGTAATTGCCTATCCAGTCCGATATTCTGTGTTCAGTAGCACAGTAAGAAACGCTACTCTCACACCAAAAAAAAAATTTATCTGCTAACAACATTTCTTATTAACATAGGAGAGTTTAATGACTACTTTACCAACACCTGCCTATTTATTCAGGCTCTGATAAGCAAAAGAATAACTGGGAATAATCCCTGACAATAACAGGATCAAGTCATATTAGCATAAATGCCTTTAGAAGTCATTTTCAGGACGGGTAGGATATATGAAATACCGAGATAGCAATGTAGTAATAATCCCATCTTACTCAGCTAGCCTCGCGATGCCTATTACAACGAAGACATGTTTTAAATAGCCTTTCAAACAAAGGGAAAAGATTATTTCAGAAAAATAAAAAAGGAAAACCTTTATTTCTTGGACTATTATATGACTTTATTAAATCAAAAGGAAAACTTTTTGCCAGACATAACTAGACAGACACAAGTTGACACATCTACATTTGAGTCTGGTTCACAGCTTCTCTTAGTTTAAGAGTGGCTCTAAGGTGAGGGGAAGAAAACACACAGGAAATGGCTACAAGAGAAGAAGGTAGCTTTCTCACTTCCTCCTGATCCAGAACTAATATATTGTCCAAAGCAAAAAGAAGAAGAGCTGGGATGTGGGGAGAGGGAGAGCACACCTATTTGATTCTTCTTGCAAAGTCTTGAAGGATTTTCACCCCCAACCCCATTTTCCAGGGAGTGATCAGCAATAACATTCATTCAGTGCCATAGGTTTACCAAAGCAAATGGTTAAAAGCGAGTAACTTCATTAGTGGAATTCTATACAGTCTTGCTCATTAAAATCCACCAGATACCTGAGGAATTGAAATCAGGTATCATCTCACCTTTCCAGTATGCGAAATTCCTGATTAACAGTGTTGCAAGACCTCTTCAAGTCAGGATGAGAGTCTCCTTTAAACATGGAGTTACTAAGTAAACCAAACAGATTAGCCTAAAGCATTGAAAGAACAAAATTAAAAGATAGCTGCAGTAATAACTGCAGCGATGGATGAAGAATATAAAAAGAAGCTAGGATTTGGGAGAGGAAATATATTTGATCTCATCACCTCATAGAGGTGAACATTCAGCTACAGTCTCTTCATCAGGGCTGTCACATTCTGCAGACAGGCACTTCAGCTGTACAAACAGACAGACTCAACGACATGAATTCCCTGAAAGCGTAACAGACTACAAACTACCTTACCTGCGGTCTATCGCGCAGGCACAATCCTGACAAGCGTTCACTTACTAACGTCTCCTTCCCAGACTTTCGTACATAACAGTCTACGACCAGAGATGGTTCTGTCAAAGCCGGTAGGCCCAGAAGCTCATTGAATTTTAGTTATTTATTTATTAAGAAAGAGTGAGCTACAGTCAAACCATGTTTTGAATATGTGTTATACAGAAAGGAGTGATACTAGAAACTTCTAAGTAGATCATCTCGGTTTATGATTAGTCCAGTGAACTGATTTTAGTAAGACTGATACTTTGTGATACTTGGTCAGTAGATGTTTGAGAGAATGGATGAAAAGGATTCTCCATTTAAAAAAAAAAAAAAAAATATATATATATATATATATATACACACACACACACATATTTTCCTCATAAGTGTCCCCAAACTTTTTCTTATCTATTTCAAATGCACGCATGTGCTGGGTTTTGCTAGCTGCCAAACCAAACAAGAACATAGAAAGTAGGTAATTATATCTGCTAGGAAGTATTATGATATGTTCTGGCCTGCAACTTCCAATATCAACAGATGAGAGTAATACTCAGTTACAATTTGCTTCTGTCCGATATAAGTGGTTCATTTCCTCCCTCCCTCGTCCCACTGTTGATAGCTGCAAACAGCAGTAAGTAGGCACTTGTAAATTCTGAAAATACGAATTATCAGGAGAAAGCTATTTTTAAGTTTCTTGGCTAATGTTTGGTCACAGGTGATACAATTTGTAAACTATCGCTTCAATCACCTATCAATAAGTTTGACGCAAAAGGTACCTGGACTGTTTTGTTACGATTGCAGAAGCTACTCAAAACAAGGTTTAACTCAGCTATTTCTGACTGTGAAGACAAATGTCAGCTATGCCTAGCATAGTTTGCTATACCTATAGCACAGTTCGAAAGATAGACGTTATAAGAAAAAAAAATTTTGTAGTATAATATCAAAGATATCTATGAAAAAGAGAAAAAAAAAGGTCTTCAAAAGTTAAATTTACAAACCACTTAGCTTGTTTACCCATTTTTTTTTAAATTTCTCTTTAAGAACTGATGTGAGATTATTGCAAAAACTCAGGAATAAAAGCTGCATGGGTGTGTCAAAAAGAATTCATGCTAAACCAATGGAATTACTTTCTATGACAGGATAAGAAGTGGTATGGGTAGTAGAATAGCAACTGATTTATCTTGACTTTAAAAGGGTTCCCACGATATTCTCAAAATCATAGATGTCACAGAGATGATGTTAACTACCAACTGAATGCAAAGCTAGCTGAAAAAAGTCATACTCCAAGAGTAGTCACTGATGACTCCCTATCAAATGGGAAGAATGTGTAGTCCAAGGTTCAAGAAGTAGTCAGTATTTTCATTCATAATTGGCTGCGGTACTAAAGATAGGATTCCAAGCTACAAAGGGATTGAAAACATTTTGGAGGACAAGATTATAATTCAAGATGATTTTGATAAGTGGAAGAAGTGGTTTGAAAAATAGGATGCACTTATGTAAGCATAGCTGCAAAGCAGGAACCAACAACTGCACAATTACAAGACGGGAACAACTGAGTAGGCAGTAGTTCTGCAGAGAAAGACATAGAGCTACAGTGAATCACAAATTGAATGAGTCAACAATCCCAGGCTGATGCAAAAATGACAAACATCATATTCTAATGAATAAATTAGGGTATTATGGGTTGGAAAGGTGAAGTATTTTGCAAATTTTCGCAGTACTGGTAAGGCTTTAGTGGGACCATGACATCTAGGTTTGAGTACAGAATCCAGACAACACAGAGCACATACAAAATATACAGAAGAGTAAAACAGAATCCAAAAAAGCTTTACTTACAAAAATGAAGCTGAAAAAAGCTATTTGGCCTAAAAAGCAGAAGAACAGTGAGGAGACACAATAACAGTCTTTATTATATGGAAGGTGCTATAAAGAAGTAAGGAGCGCGCTGTCCTCCCCACCTCCACAGGAACTAGAACAAGGAAGTAATAGGTTTAGCATGGCAAGAAAGATCAAGATTATTGTGTTCTTCTGGCATCTAGAGATAAATAAGGATTCAAATTGACTAGCAGACATATGGTGGAATCACCATAATTAAAGATTTTCAAAAACAGGCTAAACAAACATCTGTCTGGAATGATGTATATTTAGCTGACCCTGTCTTTAGAAGGGTGGATGGATAAGATAAATTTGCCAGCCACATTTTCTATGGCTATAGCAGAGAGAGAAGACAAGAACGTCACATTCCAAAATAATAAAAACCACTTTTGTTTTAGAAATACAGAGTAACACAACATCAAGACTTATTTTAAGATATTCCTGTTAATTAGGCCCCATTATATTTTTAAGTCAAAGTATTGATAGAGTTCAACCACTTCTATGGAAAGTAGATTTTCTCAACCGAAATGAGTAATACCATGGAATTCAACAGGGCTTCTTACAGTATTAGAAATTCAGAAAGTATAAGAGCTAGCACTGAAAGGGAGCATTCACAGACTTAAGTTCTAAGGTTAAACATCACTTCCCCAGTTTCACATTTTACTTTTTGTTAAATTCTCCTCCTTTCAACTACTGTAAAGTATGTCACTTAAATCATTTGGTTATTATAAAACCTTTAACCTAATCTGTCCTAACACTGATTTTTTTTTTTTTTGCAGCAAAACAGATTCTCAAGCACAAAACTCTATACTTCCCTCAAGCTTGAAATACGAGGATAGTGTTAAATTAATATTTCTTACAGAAAAAAAAAAACTTTGCAAAGGTTCATGCAGGTCCATGACTGATCTGCTACATTTTGTTTCTTCTTGTTAGACACCAAGTTCTGCTGATGCAACAAACTACATTACATCTTTTGTTTTAAAGACAAGGTTACTTCCTTTTGGAAGACTGAAAAAGCTGACAGTGGACCCTTAGGATGAGCAGCCAGGGCAGGGCTAACCCCCACAAACTCCAGACGTTCTTATTACATTTCAAGCCATTTCTATAACATCGATTTTTCATACATGATAGTCATGTTGAAGACATCTTGTATACTCCTGTTCTTGTAAGTCAATTTACTTAAACTTGCCTACATTGTGAGCCAGACTCTACTCTCACCGCTTCCTCAAAGGCAACAACAATCTATAACTGGTCTCACAGTTTTTGGAGGCAAATATCAATCAAAACACCAAAAGTCACTACTAAATATTAATTAACAGTACCTATATTACAAGTCTTAAGAAGATGAGAATCCTCTCTTGAATAACACCTAACCATGCTGCATCCACAATTTTGATTATATTCCAACATGTTTTTAAGAATGTGAAACATGCCCACTGGATCCCAAAGATGTGCCTATTTGATATGCAAAGATATAGATTTCGCCAATGGGCATATGACTGCAATTATGACTCTATTATTATTATTAATAAGCTGCATTAACTTCTTTCAGAGAAGCTGGAGAAAAACCCTTCACTTCCCCTAAGTAAGGGATTCCAGCACTTCAGGAATAAATACAAATTAAATGTGGCATCCATAAACACCCTAACAATCCTTCGTAATTCCTTTGTATGAATGCCTATGGCAGTAGGTAGAAGACATGACTGCACCAAAAGAGGCTGTGATCCACTCTGAAGAAAGCAAATAAATAAATAATCCACCAAACTTCCTTTCTTCTTGGAAAAGGTGAAGGTCAATTCTTCTGTTCTTCTCCAAGTATAAAGGAAGCATCTGTATTCCAGACATGCAAGTTCTACATACTATTTTTCCCTACTTCGGCCACAAACTCTTTGAAGCTACTAGTGATATTAACCTGGTGGGGAAACTGTCAGATGAGAAACATACTACGATCGTGTATATTTACCTCTCTTCCTACTAGGTACATTATCATAGTATTTAGAGGGCAGAAGGTGCTACTGTCTTCTCTAATCATTTTTCACTTACTTTTGCATCTCAGAACAACCACTGGAACGAAAGGAAAGAGTAAAGGAATCTGTTTTGGATCAGACTTTTTACAGAAAGCAAACTGAAAAGTATCCTCCAAGTTGCTTTAAAAATCCCCTACAAGCTCAACCAGGATAAACTTAAGACATATTAACCAAAGGCAGAGACTTTATCAAACTAGTAAGACTTTGTCTATTAGATAAAGCTTTTTTAGGTTAGAATTTTGGGTTATATAATTGCATGAGCACTGTAAACTAGAAATTCCCACAAGCATAGCCTGTAGAACTGAGTTATCTAAAAAGACAATGACTTCTTAAAATTTTGACTCAAGTAATTCCAAGAATTTTCACTACCACTACTATTGCACTTCTCAGGTCTGCATAGCTGATATGAAAGTATTACATACGTCCCTAGTTTTCACAAAGGAAAGTAATATTTATTAGTAAAGTTTTATATGGAAGCAATATCTTGATTTTTTTTTAAAAGACTGTGTATGCATTCTATTTCAGTAGCCACTGACCTTGCTGAAATTTCACTAGGTTCAACCACTTTGAAAGTAGTTTTTCGGAAGCCCCGTGTCAAATATCATCAGTTCCCAGGGGCTTCATAAAGGTACACCTTTAACCCTGTCCGAACACACAACAATGCTCCGGCTCTAAATGCAACAGTCGCAGAATTCCAAAAGGAGGAACCTCTTCCTGTTATTCTACAAAGAGCAGGGGTAAAAATATTGACTGTTAATATAGAACCCACCTTAAAAAAAAAAAAAAAAGAAACTTAATTATTATTATACTACAGCTATGAACAAACAGCTTGGTAAATTTTCAAAATGCCTCCCTCAAAAGACCTCGGTAAGTCTGGTATTCCTCAAGGCCCAACAGCATTTCAAGCATAGACTAATAGGTCTGGTATTCCTCAAGGCCCAGGCTTTCAAAGACACAGAAGTAATGCCTTTCAGAGGCATTACAATCAATTCCCTTTACACTTACAGACAACGACAGGCTCCTGTGTTGGGCAGGCCAATAACTGGCATTAAATACTCTTTTTCCCTGAAAACCTTTTTATTGCTTCAGCATTTAAACAGCTACAGGCGACTGTCACACATGTCAAAACTCACAGTGCGCATCTATTTCCACTGCTACCCCCAATCGAGTTTTTA